TATTTTTTTCCAGATAAGGGATAAATTCACTATTTTTATTGTCAAATCTCTCATTTATCTGCATCACTTTTAGGTTTAGCTGATTAMAGTGGTTCTCCTAAAGAACTTAATTGTACAAAGAGGGAAACTGTCATTACATTCTGAGAATATTTGCATAAAGTTAGGCAAGACTTATCACTGCAAGACACAGCTAAAAAAACTTTGAGAAAAAAGTTACCTCCTTTTAAAATGTTGGGCTGAGTGTCGTACTCCCATTTGATCTTGGTTATTAAGTAGTACAACTGAGTCACGTATCTGTGAACGAAAAGTTTAGAAAGGGAATAAACAAAAACAAAACGATTACTAACAACTATTGTCACTAGAAGACCAAAGCATGAAACAAACAAACAAACAAACAAACAAACAAACAAACAAACAAACAAACAAACAAACAAACAAAAAACAATCTGTCATTCAAAGTGCCAATGATTGATGCACAAGAGAAAAACAGGGAGTTTGTGACTCACACTGTTGACGGGATGACCTCTGTGGTGTCTTCATCCACCTCATTCTGCAGAGTCACCAGTTCCTGCTCACTGCTCCTCAGACTCTCCAGCTCCTTTTGCAGGAATCTGGAGGAGTGTTAGGGACAATCATACAGAGGAGAACAGGGATTCTAAAAAGGTTAATGCCTTTACTGTGACAAATAAACCCGTCAAAAAGATACTGATATTCTGAGTCAGTGATTTGACTCTTGGCTGTGCACTGTCTCAGCTGCACCTCCAGATTCTCCAACTCCTCCTCCTTGTGCTTCTTCTCCTCCTCCATGTCCAACAGCCTCCTGCTTGCACTCTCCTCAATCTGTGTTGTGTCTGGAAATAAAAAGGTACAAAATCATGTGTACAAGCTCAACTAAAGGCATACATCCATCTTAATCTTAAAATAGGTGGTGATATTGGGTGACAGCAAAGACATGTTAACTTCTGGTTAGTGATAATGACTGACTGCAGCTGGTAGTTTCTAYATACCAGCATATTAAAGGTTTGTTTGACAGCTTGGATTGAGAAATGCACAGAACGACTGGAAAGGAACTTGTGAAAATCTAAGAAGAGAAAATTTGTCAGGATTAGGGCTGCACAAGATATCGAAAATTTATCGTCATCGTGATAACAGCCTGTGCAATATGCATATCGCAAAAAACTGCAATAAATTTTTGGCTCAAGTGTGCATTTATGAGTTTTGTCACTCAGATGGAAGATTGGAGTATTTCACCTGAAGGAAATTTTGTAACTTACTGAATGTTAGATGCAGTTTTGTATTTTATACGTTCAACTCAATTCAAATAGTACCAGGTCACAACATATGTTGTCTCAGGGCACTGTAAACAAAAAGAACAATCTAAAGAAGAAGCCAT